AAAATATATGCGTAATTATTAATATGTTTATAATTATATCTTCATATAGTTATATTTCATAAAATATACGATATATAAATAGGATAATTTGAACATAAAAAAGTTTTTGAAGCAAAAAATTTATTAAAAATATTGTATATATTGTAAAAAGATGGAGGTATAGATGATTTGTAATTATGGATTATGAAAATAATGTAAAAAAATTAATCAATCTAATTATTTTATTCATTATTTTCTCCATTAACTAAGAATAATTTAAGAATAATTGTAATAAAAAAAATTGTTACAATTAACCGATTAAAAATATTTTGAAAATTAAAAATTTTCTAATTATATGTCATTTTTTATTAGATTAAATATATCATTATATAAAAGACAAAAATATTTTATAAATAAGAACATTAAAAAAAATTACAATTTACAAACAATATGATTTATAAACAAAATTAAAATTTTTTAATAATATAGTTTATTTAAACAAAAGAAAAAGATTCCTTATTATTACATTATAATAATATTTCAAAATTTCTTCATTTTGTTTATGAATTATATTGTTTATAAAATGCAATTTCTTCTTTAATTTTTAAAACACGAAAAAAACGTAATATAAAAAATAATATGTTTGCATAAAAATCCGCAGTTTATTGATAATCAACATTTGAAAAATATTTCGAATCGCATCATGGACTTATTTACATTAATATTACTTTATCATTTTATGACGGGAACGAATCGTTCACTTGTGTCGTCTCTCTTTGTCATTTTATTGGTCATTCTATCGCTAAGGAACTAAGGAAGTAATAAAAATAATAAATATCGAGACGAATATATTTTTCTTGGATTTATTTTAAAATTGTTGATAAATAATAAAAAAAAAATATTAAACAACTATTGATAAGGAAAACTTTTATGTCTATTATGTTTCAATAAAATATAAATTGATTGATCTTTTTTTACTCATTTTTAAATTCAAATTACAATTCAATCATTAAAATAAAATGTTCGATAAATTCGTAAAGTTTTTATTTATATATTTACATTAATCATTATCAATAATGCCAATTATATTCATTATTAATAGATGCCTATTTATGATTACCTATTAATAGATATCTATTTATAATTAGCAATTGACATGTTAACCAAAAGATATGTTAAAATAAATTTAAAGCAGGATTTTGAAAGTATATAATTTAATTTCTCTTATAAAATAAACAGAAATATGAATTTCATTTCATAATTATATATATTATATTTATTTTTATTCTAAGAATAATAATATAGATTGTAATGTACTTACTTATAAATTACAAATTTTGAAAATGTGCTTTTATAATACGTATATACTTATTGTTTTATCTATCAAAAAGCTATTAATATGATAAAGAAAATTATCTATCAAGTGAAAAAAAATATATAAAAACAATTTTCTTTGAAAAGATTCAAAATTTTTTTTTTCAGTTAATATTCAACATCAAACTTTTTTTTTCTATTAAAAAAATGTAGATATTACAAACAAAAGTCTTTTAATATATTCATTCATTTAATATATTCATTTAAACTCACAAAAATAAATCCAAAATATTCACATCTCAAACTAATTTTCAATATATAATAATTCCTTTTAATCGATATCGAATCACAAACATTTCTTAGATCAATTACTTTATTTCCTATTAAAAAAAAAAAAAACATAAGTAATAATATAATAACAAAAAAATTTTTTTTAATTTTTAATATTTATTAATTATCTTTCTAAATCTTCTAATCTTTAAATTATTTTTTTCAAAATTTTCAAAATATCCATTCTTTAAATTAGTGATTTTTTTCTATTTTTTGAAAAATGAAAAATCAAATTATATTTTTCAAATATTTTAAAGAAAATAGAAATATATTGTAAAATTTATATTTAAATTTATAAATTGATAATACATCAGAATGCAAGACAATTTTAGATAAATATTTATTTCTTATTTTCTAATTTATACAAAATGAAAATAAACAGATGTTAAATATAATTGGTGAATTAAATAAATATTTAATACAAAATTTTTTGCAAAACTACTTTTTTTAATAATTCTTATTTAATGATTGAAAATTAAAATACATCTAATTTAATGTCAGCCAATTTACTTTCTTTTTTATGACAAAATCCATAGCTATAAAAATTTATTTTATTTTGATTAGATTATTTGTAGAATATTTAAAAATTATTATAAATTAGAGGTTTTTTACAATTTAAAAATTCGGAATTCTTTTATTAGAATTTGGAATTTATTTTCTCATTAATATTAAACTTTCTAAGATTTTATGCAATTACTAATTATCATTGTTTTCTTAATGCTAATTTTTTATCTCAGGACTAAAATAAAAGAAAATATTTTATTAATAATAAGGAATGAGAACATAAATTTTGAAATATAAATTGGAATTATTTTCATTTAGATTTTCTTTAAAAATCAAAAATAGTTTATTTAAAATGATAATTTTGGGGATTATTGATATTTATTGATTTAAATTTTTTTGAAATTTTAATTATTTAGCTAAAATAATATTATATATATTTAATTTACAAAATTAACGTTTTATTTTAAACTATTTAGCTTTAAATTTTAGAATTTGTTAAAATTATTTTTATTTCTTTCATTATATTTTAGTTATAAATTTTTAGAATTCATTAAAATTATTTTTATATTTTTATTTTTTATAATATTTATTATTTAAGATTTATAATTATAATAGAATTTGTAGTATTTACAATTTTATTTTCAAAAATTTATTTTCAAATAAATTCTTGATTATTTTTAATTTATTTCTATGTGTGAATTAGTTTTAGGATTTTTAGGATCTTTACTTGTAATAAAATAACTTTCTAGATTTATATTTTTCGAGAAATTACAATATTTCTATATTTCATTCCAAAATGAGAAATAAACGATTATAAAATTTCTCTTAAGAAATTTTCCAAAATAATTGTTATTTTAAATTATTATAAATTTTCAATCCGAAAACCCGCGCAATTTCACAATCAGTCTACGAAGCGTAAAATCATTTTTCCTTTTATGCTAATCAGCGGTATCTGTTCCCCGATGCGGTGTACACTCGGTTGGCGCACGTGACGCGCGCTGGTTTTACCGGCGAGACGAAAAGAAGACATCAATCCTCCTCTTGTGGCTCGAATCCGCGCCATCGGTGAGCGCACAGGTTCCGCTCGTTTTCTTTCTGTTTGGTCGGGCATTCGTAACGAGCGGGAGCGCGCGACAGTAAAACGGTGCCACTCTACCGGTCCGTCCCTCTTCTCATTTATTTCTTCACCGTTTGCGTTCCCTTCTTCTTGTCCTCGCCTTAACGCCTCTGCTCCTTGGCAAGCTCGCGCGTAACAGCGCGCCGCGCCGCCCGGTTTTATGCATCGGCCGCTCTTTGGTTAAGAAGCTTTTTGCTTCCCTTCCCGCTCGTCGTTGTGGATGACCGTGTATGAGTTATGCTAATTGAATGTTTGATAACCGGAGACTTTAATTGGAATGTAACCGGTCATCCAATCGCGTCGATCCGCTGACGTTTTCGCGAGAAAATTTGCCTGTCACTGATCGTATGAATTCTGATTGATTTCTTAAAATATAAATTAACGGGCTGTAGATTGTGAGAGGATTTTATGGATCGTTGAAGTGGATATTTTTGATTATAAATTAATTTTCCGGAAAATTTCTTTTTTACGCTTATTTACTTCAATATACTATAACATGACTATAATATCGCATTGTTGCATTATTGGTAGATTGGATCAGAAAATATATAATTTAACGATAATTATTATTTTATTAAACTTAACAATAATATATTATTGTATAGTAAAGTAAAAAGAAAGTATATCGAAATATTATGATCGTATAGTATGTTAATCTGTTCGTGAGACATTTTTTGAAGATTCTAGAGATCAAAACAATCATAGAAGTTGGTATATACAAAGATACATCGCTCGAAACGAGCGATAATAAGAATAAGAAAACTTTGTCACACCATTTTGCTTCATTTAATTGAAACTTCAATCGTTTAGAACTTTATAAAAAGATATTTTCAACAATATTTCCAAATATCAACTTTTATATTTGTTGTTGACTTTGGAATCGACCTTTCAAAGGTGAATCATGAATATAAACATATGTATATATATTTATGTCCCAAAACATACATTTTAAGTAATATTTTCCTTTGTTGAAAATTTTGTTAATTCTAAAGAATTATAAAATAAAATAAGTTTAATTTTGATAAAAGTTAATTATACAAAAAATATTCTTAATATTTTTCTCCAATAATTGATAATTCTAATTATCTTAATTTTATAATTAGATAATATCATAAACAATTTGTGATAATTATTTCATGTTTATTAAAAATTTAAAATTTAAAATTTTTTCTTAAATTTTATCAAATCTTAAAGAGATTCTAATAAGTAATTCAATTACAAAATTGATATACAGGATAGATAGTATAAAAAAGAACAGGTTTCGAAAAGAGTATTGTAAATTTCTTAAAGTATTTTTAAAAATTTAAAACGAGCATTTTTTTTATTATTTCTTATTTTGTAACAACATTCGTGCATATACATTTATATCTAGTTTTAAAGTTTGGCGTGTCAAGCATTAATTTGAACTGAATATTAATAAATCGACAATATTGTGATTTTGACTTTGACAATGAAATAATAATAATATTATACTCTTTTATTACATTATCTCTGTTATAAATAAATAATCATATTTTCAATAGAATTTATGAAAAGGACAAAATGTATTTTTTTAAAAAACGAAAAAAACACAATGTAAAGATTAATAATATCATATACTTAGCTAGATAGTTGACTTTTTCAATCTTAATTTGAAGTAAAATAATTTTTTAATTTTTTTTACATCTTGTTTTGAAATAATAAAAATGTCTCTTTATATTATTCTTTCTTCAAATAGATGTAAATTCTGTATATATGTGTGTAACTCAATGAAAACTTAAATCCAACGAATGTATAAACTTTATTAGACTTTAACATCCAAAGAAATCATGAATCCCAATACGAAATACATTTTGCAATGCACTTTGCAAATTTATCGATTAAATTTATGAACTCGTATCATGAATTTTTCAAACGTTATTATCGTGACGTCCACGTCGAGGGGCGAAATCCTCTCGAGGATGTGAAACGAGATAGCGGGGAAAACGAGGTAACACGAAAAGAAGATTCAATTTGGTGATTTTTGCACCTGTTGCCTTCACGTTACAAAGGAGAAGGTAGAAAGATACGCGGGAAGAATCTGGACAACTGTGATCGAATTATCGCGTGTTCTGCAATAAATCCAAGCCACGTTATTCAATTACGTCCGATTTTAATTGCTTTTAATTAGTGTTGATTGCGAAACATTCACCGTGACAGAAATAATCGTAAAACGGTTTTATTTTTTTCTTACGTACTGACGCAATTGAGAATCTTGAACTCGGCCCACGTTCGAATTGTCGTATCTCGCGTTGAACACGGTACGCATGCGTGTTTCACATGGATATAAATTGTAATTCCTTTTTAAAAAATTAAAAAACAGCGATGGTAAAAATTTTTTATACATCGTAATTTTCTAATCGATTAAAAATTTTTTGTAAAATTAAATGCTAAATTCTTTGAAGGATATTGCTAAATTATATAAGAATTTTTGTATTTTGTTAATTTTATTTTTTAAATTTAACATTAGAAGTTTTTATTTTAAGAAAAACAATTTAGGATGACAGTGATTCAATAAATATTCATAATACGAATTCTATATATTTAATTTTTGTGATTTTAATTTATCACAATATATTCTTCCTTTTTGTTTTATTTATTTATTGTTTGGAAAAGGATAATACGCGATCTTCTTTTTTCCTAGATTTAATAATATCAGTAGGACAATCCAATTGTGGATATTTATCGAATTGCTAATATTTTAAATTATTTTATTTTAAATAAATTTTAATTCTAAAGTGAAATTTAAAAAATTAAGTTAATGTAAAAATAAAATTCTAAGTTATATTTTTTAAAAAACGATACTTAATTTTTAATTCAACATTTCTTTCATTAACAGCTATTTTCTTTAAGCTCTTATATAAAATTCAATACATTGAATTTTTGATTATTAAACTTTCTTTATTCAAAAACTTTAATCTTTAACTATATAATATATTAGATTATAAGATCTTTAAGTATTTTAAATGTGTTAAATATTTAATAATTTTATTCTTAATTAATAATATATAATACACACGATAATTAATTAATACATATGATACAATAGTAAATATCTAAATAGTTCTTAATTAGATTAATATTCATAATTTTGAATTATCTCAAAATTAAAGAGTTAATGTATCAATATATTTCAATTTCACTATATCAATTAAAGTGTAATATAATATTTAAAGATTTCATTGTATCTTCATAAATAAAATCTTAATAGATTTAATCTTATTATTCACAATGATTCAATGAATAAAAACAATATTCTAGAAATATCTAATATTCAAAAAAAATAAAACACACATTTATACAAACTGTTTATTATACAAATATTAATTCATTTGTTTTTAAAATTATAAAAAATTTTAAGTTGATCAGAAAGCAATGTAATAAATATTCTTCATTCTTGTCCACTTTCTTAAATAATCAATAGGATTGTCACAGAATCGTAAAAACGTTGAAAGATTTTTCGAGACGTATGAAACATCATGCAAATCCCTCATTGAAAAAAAGAGAAAAAGAACTCAAATACATCGTCACACGTTTACAAACGTGTATTCAGTGTCTGGCCAATTGCTCAAAATGCAGGTTTGCTTTCTTTATTTTATTATTATTATTTTTTCTCATCCTTTCAAGGTGCACGCACGATTGAATCGGCAGGTGATTCACTGTGTGCTTTGGTTGTCAGCGTTTAATTTCTAATTGCAATTCCCGAAGACAAGAGAAGAGAATGAAAAAGATAGTCGCTAAGCAGATAACAGTGGCACAAAAATAAAGGAACTGCCGCACGCTTGTGCCAGTTTCATTAAACAGTCAATCTTTGAAACAAAAAAAAAGGAAAGAGAAAGGGATGAAGATCGTTTTTAATCATAGTTAATTGCACGTTAGCAATGTTTTCTTATCGATGGAATTAGCTTAGAAGATAGAAATTATAAACGAACATATTAATTTCACGAATATCACATTGCCATAGCTTTTTATGAAAAATATTATCTTTCTTTTATATTATTCTTTTTCTAGGCTAATTACTGTATTAATCAGTTAATATAAAATAGTTTTTATACATAATTATAAATTATACATGAGACATAAAATATAATATTAATAAGATAATAAAATTTTATACGAGAAAAAAGAAGAATGTTAATCTTTGAATTTTTTCTCGTATAAAATGTTTTATGTATACTTTTTATCTTTAACTAAATTGTGAATTAAAATTTTTGTTAAGTTTAATAGTTGTAAGAAATTGAAATGTATAATGAAAAAATGAAGAATTGTTATATATTGGATATTTCAAATTATAAATTGAAAATGATTAAAATGAAGAAAAAAATTATGTTTTATATTAAATCTTTTATTAAATGTATTATATTATTGAAAAATGTGACATATTTAGAGTCAAAAATAAATTTTCATTTTTTAAGAAATGTTGAAACTATATATATAACTTTTCTATATTCTTTTAATTTGTTTTTTTCTCAGTAGTTCTCTTTTAAATTTTTATATTTATAAAAAAATATTTACGTTTAATTTTTAGGTTTAAGAAAATATAGTTGAAGAAAAATAATTTTTCTATTTAATTGTTTAAGATATGAATAATGCGTAGAATATATATTTATTTTTAGTTTAATTTACGTATGATTTAAAAAATATAAAAATATTTATTCATATCATAGTATAAGTATATTATTTTATTATATATATTTATATTTTTAAAGATATTATATTTTTTATATTTTTCTTTGTATAAAAAATATCAAAGTATTTTTTAATATTATTTATCAATATTATTTAGTATTCATGTAAATATATTTTGAATAAATATCGAAAAATAACAAAAAATAAAACACAATTTTTTTCTTTTATTATCTTATTTTTTTTAAGCAATTTTGAACAAAATTTAGAGGAGAAAAAGGAAAAAGAAAAACAGTATCGAATCATTATCTATTTACTACTCGTTCTTCGTCTCAATTAGGCAGCAAAATCACCACTCTGTCTTAATCATTTCCATTTCTTCATCCAATCACGCGAAACAATATAATTACAATTATTTTATTGTCAAACATAATTACATCTTTCCTATCTTTTGTATCTTCATCTTCCCCCCTTGATCTCTAATTCCAATTCACAATTTAAAAAGTCTTCTTTAAACGAAAGAGAACAACGGAAAAACACCAAACTAAACGGAAAAACGAAAGAAAAAAATAAGGAAAAAGAAGAAGAGAAGAAGAAAAAGAAACAAACAAAAATGAAACGAAGACAGAAGTTGAAGAAAGAAAAAAGGAAAAGAAGGACGATATTGCTCTCAAACATCTCTTCTTTTGGCCCAAAGAAGCCCAAAGTGAAATTGCCTCATACGCCCTTAAGGAGCAGCTTAATTGTCGTTAATTGCATTTTAGTCACTTGATTCACGTGCATGTCGACCGATCATTCGTACATTGGATGAGATCCACCGATCTACCTATGGTAGTTTGACAGGTATGTTGTCGGATTCTCTGACTTTTTATTCCACCATGGTGACATGCGGATAACATCGATTTCTCTGCGTGTTTTTCCCTTTGATCCGCGGCTCCCTTAAGGCCATCGTCCAGATTCCGATTTCATTGCGCTACCAACACGCTTTCTGCACGATATCTCGGTGATCATCGTGCTTTCATCGAACAATGTTGCTTTTATTATATATGGCAGCTGACCGTTTGTTTATCTTCCATTCTGTATTATATATATATACATTTATTTCTCTTTTTTAAAAATAATTGATTATTTTGTTTATTCGTACTCATTTTCTGTTTTTTTAAACAATTGATTACAATTTGCTTGAATATTTGGCTCGCATCATTTATTGAAATAAGATTAAAGTTACATTATCTTTTTGCTCAACGCAAGTTAGTTATAATATTTTGTTTAATAAAATACTTATTATTAAATTAGAAAATTTAGCAAATATAAATAAGGAGAACAATAATATTATATTATCTATAAAGTATCGTTTTTCAAAAATTATGTCAATTTATTATGAATGAAATATGTTATACGTATATTCATCAATGCATTTATATTTATATTATGTAATGATAACGTTGAATTCGAAATAGATATCTAATTGAACAACAATATCTTTGATATTTTGAATTTCGTTCCAGATGATCTGTTTTTCTAATTTCATTTTTATTTTTCAATTTACTTGATTTCACAATTTCTCAATGGATAATTTTAAATTAATCAATTGCTTTAAACAATTCCATATTTTTGCAATGTTTCGAAAATCATTATTTTAATTGTTATAGCAATATAACTTTTTGTGTACAACAACGTATATCATTTTTTAATTATATTTTGCATTTTCAACAAATATATGGTCAAAATATTTGTGGCCGCATACATACTCATGGATTTAAGGGAATGTCAATGTGAGAGGATGGATTTATGCGGTTTAAGTTAATTGCACGAGTTGTATTGAGAATGATCGAGGAATTTAATTTAATTAGCGAAACAACAGCGTGGCTGATGATATCGTCGGGACAATTGGAACGATGGAACTTGGGATGGAAGCATTCGTAATGAGTCCCTTTTGTTAATGTGACGAGAAGTATCGGTCGAGGCAAGGGGAGATGGAGTTCTTGAAATTGCGGCCTCTTTTTAAGGACGACTTTTTTAAGGACATTAGTCCATGTGAGCGTCTTTTTGCTTAGCGATTCGATCGTTTGATCGAATGAGGGATAGTGTTTGTGATGAGGAGAATTTTGGGATAAGCTTGATTAAAATATGGGTTGGTATGTGCCTGATTTAAAATCTTCTTACCTTTTCTTAAAAAAAAATTCTCGAAAGCTGGAATTATCATTCTTTAATTATTTATTTGCTGCTCAAATTTATGGATTAAATAAAAGTTGAACGTAAATCTCATATAATAAATAATTTTATACGTAGAATACAAGTATAATAATAACGAATAATAGGTATATTGAAAAAATTCATAACCTCATAAATTCATATTTACAAGAAGTTTAAATTAAAAGTATTATATTAGACAGCAATTCGTAATAGCTGTATAAACAAATTTATAAAAATATAATATGAGTATAATAAAAATAAAAATTATAATCCTTCCTTTTGTCTTCAAAATTTATTGTATAATATCCATTTACAACGTCGTATTTGTGAAACTGAAACACGAGATCGTAAACACACAATTCAAAAACATAGTTAATACATTATCACGTTGACACGGAGGTAATAGTGCCTGGAAGCTGTGCCAGATGCGGCAATGTCACACTCCATAGGTTAGGCTCCATGACGCACCATGGGGTCCCATCGCACCCCGTTCTTCTGGGATTCTAAACCATCATCGTGTCTCAGTTTCGAAATCTGATCCCATTATTATGTGTCATCCGCTTTCACGCAGGTGACTACAAACATGCTATTATAATTACGTTATAGTTATGAGAAAAAAAAGATTATTTTCATTTATCTAATAATTGGTAGAAAAATTAAGTTTTTTGGCATGTTCAAACATTTATCTGATTTATTCAATTTATATTATTTATTTAAAATTTCTATTCAAAAACTTGCGTGTTATCATTGATAGATAAATTAATAAGATGTTAATTAATAATTCTAAGTTTTTTTAAAATTTTTAAAAATATAAAACATTGACAAAATTTTATATATTATGAAGAATTAAATTCAATTCAACTTCCCTCCTTTAATTCCAATTCAGATAAATGATTTATTTAAAGGACATTTGACATTGAGTTTTTTGATAATTTGATAGATATTTTTCTAATTCTTTTGCATCAAGATTCGTTAACTCGATTATATTATTCATATATTAATATATTTCGTAGTTTTTTTTCTGATTTTGAAATTGTTGAAAAATAAAGTTAATAAAATATTGATAAAATATTAATCAAAATACAAAACAAAATCTTTGTCGCATTCATACTTTTGATAATAAATTGTTATTTTATTTACTCGTTTTTAGTTCTTATAATATTTTCATAACCCTTTTATATTAATACAATAAAACGTTTATTTTAATTAATCACTATTTACATATCTTTATCAATATATTTCTATTAATTTAACACTTTATACAAAATATTAATACATTGATATATTAATTTTTGGAAGATAATTCAATTTTAGAAATTGAAATAACCATAGAAATTATAGATGGAATTAGTGTATCATATAGTCATATTTTGAAAAAGGTATTAAATAAATAAAAATTTAAAGCTACAGTTTAACCGTATCGTATTTCTTTTTAAAATTTTTGAATTAATTCTCCAGAAAGGAGGCACGTGAACAAGGTAAGTCATCTATCCTAAATGATACTCACCAAACGATATCGAAAAGAGCAACATTATCCGCTAATTGATTCGATTTCTCTCAATTCTTTTCATATAAAAAACAATCGAATATCCATCGAATGTTCTATATTACCACGCTTTCCAATCTTCACGGTCCTAAATCCGGTTCCAACGTCCGTGTCTGCCCGCTATCTCGTTGCTCCTCGTAAAAATCGGGTTTCCGTTCTTTCGAGGAGAAGCCGAGGGACATTTTCGTCCAAAATGAATCGTGTTCCTAAGGCGTTTCGTAAGAATTTCGCGTCCGCGGCAGGATTCCAACGACTGGTTTTACGTCGAAACTGCAAATGGATCGGGAGCTGAAATATGTCGGCCCAATTTGCCGGTGTCTGCTGCCTCTGGGCCCACGGAGCGGTGCCTTCTTACTCTCTCGTTAGTCGCCTCGAGCTCTCGCCTCGTCCTCTCTTTCCACCCTATTTCCCTTGCCTCCCGCTATCTCTTTCTCACCGAT